AAAAAAAAAAAAAAATCACATATATATATTTATATTTAAATATAAACATCTAATATGCAGGTCAGATTAACATAAAGAAAAGCTGATAGTTTAAAATGTAATATAAAGTACATATCTAATTGTAACATACATAACCATTGCATTAATACATAAATACTCCTACACACACACACACACAGACACACACACAACTTAAATCTAATATAGTCTTTGAGGAATATTAGAATATTGAGATATATTTTTATAGTGTGCCTATATATATAAAATAATTGCTGTCAACTTTTCATTCAGCAACAATTGTAGCTTATCTCCTCATCACGTCATTCTCAATTATTTACATTTTCAATGTATAAAAATATGTAAATAAATGTACATGTTTAGCTTCTAAACTCTCATCATTGTAATTTAAATAATCCCTACAGTTAAACTGAGTTGCTGCATGTTAATCATGATGCTTGAACATTACATCAGGATTTTATTTTACTTGGAAATCAGTCTCATATGAGATGGCTCATGGCGTTCCATGTGTGCAGCTTCTGATTATTTGCCATTCTGTTCTGGGTGTAAAACTATCTTATCAGCTGAGTATAACATTTCCACATCTTATCTCACTAGAGCAGATTTGGTCGGGTGCAATTTAGCCAGTGTGGTGCCTGCAGTGACTCATCAGTGCACCAAATGAAACAATTCTCTTCCCTGCATTATCTTTCTTCTGACTAAACTGAGTGATATTTTCTCACAGCTAAAATCTGAGCAAACAGGTTTATGAACAAAAGAAAAAAATCTGTTTCATTTATGTTCTGTAATTAGGTTAAAATGGTCTCTGTTGCAAAGGAAAGCTCTATGTTTACATTTTTAAGCTTTCTCTCCCTGATTCCTTCCTGAGAAGAGGTCACTCGGGGCAAACGTTTTAAATAACACTTCATAAAGTATATGTAGTAAATAACTATGAGACATGAAAACAGTTTAAAATTGAAATCTAACAGACCAGAGAAAAAAACTCAGGTTACAAATGACAGTGTTTTACCTCTGGGATCGCTTCTTTAGAATCTTGGGCCAGAATTAAAGAATCATTTTCTACATCTTAAGGGTTTCCCTCAGTCACATCATCACATGTTACATCATTACATCATGTGTATATCTGTAAATGAGGAAACATCACTGGTTCTAGCCATATCTAGATATTATACAGTGTTTTAGATCAAGGACAACGGTGACATTTCATTTCCAAAACAGAACTGCCCTAATTACATAAACTGCTTGGGATAACATTAATCATAACACATAAAAAGCATGCATTATTAGGGTTTAAAAAGGCATATACATGAATAATAAAAAATAATCCCAATACCTTTGATAATTACTTGGTTTGTGATTTAATAGTATGTAACAGTGATTACCTCAATGTAAATAGACTAAAGATGCAAATACAAATTTTTGTCTTACTTATATTGATTAATTTCCCTCTATCTGTACTGTCAAGACATAATTTAGGGCTTCACGTGATGTAAATGTAATGCATACTCTTTATATATTATTTTATTTGTATTGTTTATTCATTTTTATTATATTGTACTCAAAATAATACTTTTATTTAAAATAATAAGATGAGTGAATTTTGCATTTCTTAAATTGGTGTTTCAACAGTTTACAGCTGCTTTTTCAGGTTTACTGAAAGGTATTTAAAGGTAGACACTGGCAAAAATAGAAAGCTCTCTAACTTTTAAACCATGCCTCGCGTTTGTAATAGGTTGAAGATGGATTCTAATAAAACACCCAATAATATCTTCATGCCCTTTAAAGGCTCTTTTTTTTTAATTCTTTAATCTCAGTAGCATTATATGGGTTACTGAATCCATGAAAATGCGGTGGTATGACTGGATCTAGTATTTTCTAAAATCATTATTTTAAAATTAAAAGATAAATATACTTCACATGAATGTTTCAGTGTTCCAGTAGCCCTAATGACATGTTCTCAGATGTTCTCATTTAAAATATGTGTTTAATTGCCATTGAGATTCAAAACAGGTTTACTTTTGCAAACGTTCAGTAAGGGTTCATGAAGCAGTTGATGATGTAAAAAAATGCCATTTAAAGTTTTCCTCCTTCAGCTGCATTTTAAATCTGTGCCTATTTCAGATGGGTTGTTTGGTCAATGCCGGAGCTCCAAACAGGACCAGGTCCAGTACCAGGTGACAGTTCCTGTGCTAAAGAGGATGCAGGAAGTCCTCAAACAGCTCATGTTGCAAGGTAAGACAGACCATGGAAATATCAAAAAGTTTAGGTTTATTTACGAAGCTTAAACTTTTAAAAGTATTATGTTAAGAGTCTGATTCCATTAAGTCAATTCCCTGGTTTTAAAGGATGCTAAACTCAAAATGTTTAAATGAAAAAAATAAATGTAGAAACCGTATGTAGATATGCACTTGATTTTAACACACTCTCTTCTAGCTCAGCTTTTATGTTTTTGCGTAATTCTAGTTTGTACATGTGTGCGTATGTGCAGGTCTGTCATGGCAAGATGACATCACCCAGTATATTTTATCAAAGGAGCTGAAGAGAGTTCCACATACCACTGTTCCCTCAAAGCCAGCCTCTTCCTCCTCCTCACCTTCTTCTCATTTAACTCAGTGAGCACTTTGATTTAGGTGTTTAAAGAACCCAAAGTTGTTAAAAAAATTTAAGCATGTAAATCCTGCTTGTGTTTCTGTACTGTTTAACAGCTCAAAACAGCATATCTCCCACCAACCCAAATCTAAATCAGGGTCCACATCTTCTGGTGGTAAATATGTGGACTATATGTATGTTGAGCCTCCTCAGTCCCCGCTGCGCATACAAACAGCCTCTTTGGACCCATATGCATACCACCAGGTATATAAGCACACTTATTTGCTGAAGTTAGCTAGAGCAATTTGAAGTGATGGTTTCATTAATGACAGCAATCACGACTTTAAATCTCAGATTAAAGATTCAGATTAAATCAAAATCAAATGCTTTTTATACTAATTATAACAAACTTTGATCTTAATTAATCTCAGCATAGATACCAAGACGAAATGGAGAGATCTCTTCTGAGTGCAGCAGGGGGATATGCTCGCCCATCTTCAAGGTCCCAGGCCAGCCAGAGGGAACGAGAGCGGGACAGGCAGCTGCTACAGGAAGCTCTGTCTTTATACCTGGCATCTGTGCAGCCATCTTATCGGCACAGAGGGTCTGCTCCTATAGCTTCTCCAGGTAAATTCATCTTTATATTTGATGCAATATCGTAAAGTTCCTACAAATCTGCAGTGTGCAAACAGAGAGAAAGAACAAACACCATGTATTTTTGAGAAAAGAGTGACTTTATGTTTTATAGCCAAATCTTCAAGATACAGATGCAAAGAAACCGGTCAGCGTAATGACAGTTTCAGAAGTTTTAAAATCGTAAAACTTTTAAAAAAACTAAAACTAAAAATGTTTTTAATCATTTTGTTTTCAAAATCAAATCTTAGCTGCAGCATTCACAGATCTAGGGAGAGGAGACTCCAGCTCTCATGTATAGTGACTTTGTGTATAAGGTAATTTTTCTTGCATGTTGGCCAAAAAGCTGTGTGCTCAAATTAAGCACATGGGTACTTACAGTATGCAGATAGGCTACTTCCCCTGGTCTCATCTATGATTACTACCAGAGACTCAGTTTGATGGAAATGTGAGCAGCTGTTTTATTGTGTTCGAGCTCTTGGTGTTTTTTTATGCCGAGCTCTTTATGCTTATTGTTAAAAGACCTGGAAGTTCTTCCTCTTAGCTTTCTATATCTCTGAGGCTAGGCTGTGACAGCTGCACTAAGTCAGATTTCTTACATAATAAACTACTGTCAGCAGGTGGAAAAAAGAAAAACAAAGATGGTGAAAATCCCTGCTCCCACTTTTCTATGTGCTCAGTTTTACAATCGCTGTGCACTTTGTGCACGGTATGCAGTACCATCACTTCTAAATTATGTTCCAGAAAATTCCTTGTTGAAGGACATGCAGCACGTACCAGGACTTCAACCCCAAAACATCCGATTCAGATGAAATACATCAATAAAATACATGATACAATATAATACAAGTTAGATCAGCGAAGTGCTGGACAAGTACAAATAATGTTTAGGGCCTACATCTTGAAAATGACACTATTACAGTATTTGTCAGTCCATTTTTATTTATTTGAAAAACAACTTTTTAATATTAATGTTTTGAAAACAGCAGTAGTAGTTGGCCTAGTGTTTAGAGCAGTGTGCTTGTGCTCTGAAAAGGTTGCAAGTATCCGGTTCCATTCCCACATCCTGCACTCTGGGTTCCAGAGCAAGACCCTCTACACCACACTGCTCCCCAGGCGCTGCACAGTAGCAGCCCGCTGCTTGCTAAGGGGATGGTTCAAATGCAGACAGTGAATTTCCCCATTGTGGAACAATAAAGGGATATACAGTAAATAAGGGGAAGAAATTAAACATTTAAATCATTTTGCACCTATAATGGTGGATGTGCTTCCACATGGGACAACTATGTTTTATCTATAATTTAGTTAAATTAACAAAGAAAACAGATTTTAAGAAAGATTAAAAGTTGAGAAAAGATAAAGTACAAGAAATACAGAGCAACATTAGAGAACTATTGCTCATCCTATAAAAACTGACAAAATAAAGGACTTCTACACATAACAATTGATGGGTTAAAGCTAAGTGACTGCATCGTCAGTCTGTCATAGATTAACACCTATTAAAATGTATAAACAAATAGCCACCTATCTCTATTCATATCTACTTTGGAATCACACATAGATTGATCACCAACCTCCTAACTGCAGTCTTTAAGCATATTTTCCTTAATGTTCTTTGCAGTGTGCCAACATGATTATGATGGATGAATAATGATGAATAATTCATGCAAAAACAGCAAAGAAAAGCCAAGTACATATATATTTGAATTAATGAATTACTTTATTTCAGAGAATTTGGTAAAAAGTTACAAATGCAACACATGCAAACATTATGCTATATATACATGTATATATAATTTAGTGATTATGTCTGAAAAGGAGTGAAGACATGAAACTTATTTTATCATACCCCTTCACCCTCCTATAGTCCATAACATTAACAATTCTTCTGACTACTAGTTAACATATGTGTCCACATTCACCCATGATTGCATTTTTTTCTATATAGGTTTGCCTTATTATGAGGATGTAGAGATACCAGTGGACTATGTGGAAGATTACACCCTAGAGGAGAGGCTTGGTACTAGAGAAAGACAAAACCTGCAGAATAAGAAAGCTCCAAAGGAATCTGCTCATCTGCCTGGGAAAAACGGTAAACTAATAGACTTGAATGACAGATTTATATGCAGGATAGCACCTTTAACAGTAATATAAGGCAATATGCTTGTTACCTCAGTGGATACATTGATCTTCTCTGTTAGATGACCTGCTCCAGAGGATATCAGATGTCTTGCAAAGGTACAACATTGATCCAAGGGAACTCAGCCAGGAACAACTCTACAAGCTGGCTCTGATACTCCAGCTGCTTCAAGCGCAAGACAAAACAGGTAAAAACTCCTTAAGTTTAACTCCCTTTTTTTAAATATAGGTTTTCATCTTTCGGATGAAAGCAACCACAGTATGCTAAGTGAAATTATAGCAACATTAATCTGAAACTTAGCTTTCTTTCTGTCAACATAGACCCGAATGCCAAAGATCTCGTCACTCTAAAGGAGGTATGTTGCTCCTAATAATTAACAGCTATCTAAACTTATAACAAAGACTTTTTACACTCTCCTGCTTCCTATCACTTTTGTAAATGCAGTTGCTACAAAAAGAAAGTATGTCCAAACCAGAAAAGGCTGTCCCTGTGCCTGGCCTTCTTGATTCTCCTGCTGCATCTTCCACTAAACACCCTGATAAAACTCTACCTAAGAGTGCCACCCTCCCCACATCTGCCTCCAGACCTCCACAAGCTGCTCCTGTTGAAGTTGAAAAAGACTTTGGGGAGCCTCTAATGGAGGGTACTGGAGGCAAAGAGGAGTATGGTTACATCGTCACTAACCAGAGGTCAGCGTTTGTGCTACAAAAACTAATAGAGACCAGCGAATGCATTAAGCATGATTAATCTCATGAGGATATTTTTTTATTATTATTCCAGTCCCCTGAATCTGTATGATGGAGTGAAGCTGTTGCAGCTTCTGGCTGAAAAAATACACTTGACAACAAGCAGCTTCATAAATATCAGGTAAGGCTGCTTCAGAGAGTTGCTAGTTTTTAGTTTTTTTTCTGAGCCTTCAACATGCATCTTCTTTTTTGTGCGTCACCAGTGCGGTGGGTCAGGCCTTGACTTTCCGTATCCGGCAGAATGAACACAACATGACGGCTGCAGAGGTAGCTGCCAAAGCTGGTGAGAGGCACACTTTAGCTTTATCACCTATGATTCATATCTACACATGCACATGCACATGCACATTCTACGTACATAGGCACTTTATTCTCTCACAATTGGAGTGTTATACCTTTCTCTAGTCTTGCTTTTTGAGATGTTTTTTTCCCACCTTAACAGAATCTGAGAAGAATTTCCTGGAGTCTGAAACTGGCCTGAAAATTGTCCAGACTGGTGTAGGAGAGGTAATTCAAATCATAAGGTTAACTCCCACTATAAGAGATTTACATGAAGTGTATCTGCTATTGACTGATTTTTTCATTTTGATCTACCTTATCACATATTTTAATTTTAATCACATTCATGGGCTTCTACTATTAGTATGTAAAGGTAACTTATGCACACACCCTGATGGTGGCCAGCAGGTGTAACAGCTAAAGAGACAGCTTACACAAGCTATAACTTAAACATTATTTTTTTAAGACGTAGATCCATGTTGTAACTCTAGTCCCATTGCTCTTGAAGGAAAAAAAAAAGCTGTTTGCCTTATATGTCGGGCTGGGCAATCAATTGATTTTTATCAACTAAATGAAATATTTGCTTATGTAGATTTCATTTTTGAAAATTGTACTTTTTTTCACCAGTCCACTCTTTTGACTTCTGTAGCTCAGAGTAACTTCAGATATTGATAATAATAATAATAATAATAATAATAATAATAATAATAATAATAATAAAAATAAGTTGATATACTACCAAACTATATAATATCACTTGCTGCAACAATTATTGTGCTATATTTTTATTATTCGTTATGAAATATGATTATTATTAAATATTATGATTTATTTTTTTTACCTACCTGTCATTTATTTCAAAGTATCTATGTTTCTTATGTAACTTTGACGCCTCTTGGCCAGGACTCCCTTGAAAAAGAGGTTTTTAATCTCAATGGGATTTTTTTCCTGGTTAAATAAAGGTTAAACAAAAAAAAGTTAAATATATATTTTACAAGCATGTTGGCACAACTGGAATTTCTTTAACTAATAAAACCAAGAATCTAACAACATCTACTAATTAACTGAAAAAACTAAAATACTGTGTAAAAATATATCTAGCCCAATCAATGGTCCAAAAAAAGTAACAGACATAAATAAAATAACTACCATAAATAATTAAAACTGATGAAAAATAAACTAAGATTTAACAGGAACTAAATGGTTTCTCAGAGGCTAAGAAGAAATTATTTAAAGACTATATTTCGTATTCTAATGTCTACTGTTGATCTCAAAGTTAAAATGTTGGAAGTGAAATGCATAGCTTGGAAGCTGACTGCTTTGCTTGTACCTTAGATTGTTGATCATTTTTAGTGTTAAAATTCTTATTTAATCCTTTACTGATACTTGCTCTGACGCTGATAACAATGCGGTGCATTTTTCTTGCCTTAAAGGTTTGTTTTTCACCCTCAACTACCTTTTGAGCTGTAATTTGAGCTGTGAGTCATTTTTTCTCTAGTGCGTGTGTACAGATCTGTAGCCACAGCCAGTAAGTCAGGCGACACCTTTAGAGAGCCATTACTTCACTTGTTGCCATGGTGTTTAAACTCCTCCACCTCCCACCCCTTACTCCAACATCATAGGTGCTATGGCAACTGTCACAAGCATCGATGACCCCAGTATCTGCCATTCACACAACAAGCCTCCCCCACATCTCTTACATTGTGCATAAAAAGATGAATATAGACTGCAAGACACGTGTGCCAAAAGAAAAAAAAAGAAAATATATATATACATATATATATATATATATGGTTATTTTTTGATTTGCTAAAGTCACATAGTGTATTCTGTAGGGTTTTCTTATATTTAGAAAATCAGATTTACTCTAAAATCAGTGTCTAATATTATTTTAGCTTGATTCAAAATATATTCATGTAAGCATGTACTGATGCTCCATTTGGGCTTGCCTCTGTAATCCAGAGGGTTAGATCCGTCGCTTAATGGGTCATTTGACCTGATGCACCACAACAGCCTGAATTACCCTTAAACATCAGAACTAATTTAGCTAAAAGGTGATGTTGAACACTAAAAAACATATGAGCGCTACCTGACCAAAAATATATTTTTTTGTCTCTCTGTTGTAGGATTTAATTCAGAGGAATGAATGTGGCTTTGTCTTTATTAGTACCTCCATGACCTCTCAATCAGCCGCTCCAATATGGTCCTCTTGTCAGATTCCAGAACATTGAGGGAGATCGTTTAAGTTAGTAACAGTGCAGTGTTGCCAGTGTCCTTCAGGGGCTAAACCTGGAAGTTACTGGTCTAGCACCCATAGTGGCCGCTTATTTTCTACTAAATGAATGCGTTCTCTCTAACAAACATATATTGAAATTCAGCTCACTTATAAATTTCCTCATGCAAACTGTAAAAATAAATTTGAGGCTTTTGTATTAATTGCACATTTCTTTATGTTGCCATTTTTTCTTCTTTTTTTTTGACAGACATTTTGCCGGGGTCCTGCACAGAGCAATTTGTGCATATGTTTACCAATAAAATATTGAAATATATATATTTTTCCCACTGAAGAGAAGAGCTGCAAAAAACAAAACCCTCCAACCTTTTATAAACAAGTGGGATAACTGTTTGGATAGCGTTTATGTGAAGATGTCCTATGGGATGTTTGGTTTTTCTTTATGACAACCTCAGCTGTCCTTTTACCGGATTTATAGAGCACAAGCACCCTGACCTTTCAGACTTCTGTCTGTGAAACTCAGCCTTGGCTGCTCATCCAGCACACACAGCTGTCTGTTGCTGTTACCGAGAGTCAAATCAGTTGTGAAAAAAAAGGAGTCGACATTTAGATCAAAGTCAAAAGACAGCCCATGTTCTGCAGCAGTTAAATTTTTCTTGACAAGTGGATTTTCAAAAAAAGAATCGGAAAAACAATATTAACCAGTAATTATTCAATAACAATCCATTTTTGGTAGCTTTATTCCGTTCTTCTTTGCCATTTTCTTGATGCTATTCTTTCTTTCCTCCAGAGAACAAATGCACGTGGTCTCCCTCAGGTCATTAGAGTCCCTCCAGGATCCAGTGGTACAGTCATCACCCTTGTTTCCATGGCAGTGGTTGGCGGTGTGCTGGTACTGGCAATGGGAATAGCTTGTTTCAGGCACTATGGCCACCATGTCGCCAATGGTAAGCTCGGCTTGGGGCCAGAAGGAGGAGCAGACACACACTTTGACTACCAGGTGAGACTTAACATTATGTGGACCTAGCGGGCTTATTGAAAGAATTGACAGCTCAAATAGGACTGCCATTTACTTTTGACAGACCTGTTGTGATGAGGTATTAAAATGCAAGAAAACATTTACATGGAAAACATACTTCTGGGAAATGATCCCTTTTATTAGAAAACTGGGTTTTTCATTTTCTGGTTCTTCATTTTCTTTAACTTGGACTTCAGTTTTTTTTTTTTTTGCCCATATAGAAACTGTTATTTATCTATTTATTTAGTTTTGGCTTTGCACAGTATAATGCAAAGCCTTTTCAAAAGTTATCACCAGTCAACACCACACACTTTTTTTAATTTCCAAAGTAATGTAATGGAACAAAAAAGACAATGTGGTTCATTTAGTCTCTAGATTCTTGTGGTCTCTGAAAAAGATTGAGTTATACCATTAAAATATTGCTACTGGATTTTGATTAAATTGTGTGTCTGATAACAATAGAACCAAGCAGACTACATCTAAATATAGACAGTATGTATTTTGTTGTGATGATAGTGTTTATTGTTAAGAGGTAAAATATTATCCATAGCTTTCAAGATTTTACCAAATAAAGTTAAGAAAAATATGACATTGCCTGTTTTTCAACTCAGAACCCCTGACTCAATTTTTTTTAGAACCATCGTTACACAATCTTTTGGAGTCTATGAGATTTTATTTAACTGACCTTTTGTGTAGTGCCCATAGACAACATGTGTTGGAAACTGGAGCTTTCTAATTTATACTGAGACACAGCAGGGGGTTTAGGAGTATCATAAACAAAGGGGCAGTCGCATCATTCACATTTTAGTTGTTAAAGAAACCATGAATCTATTTCCTTTCACTTTTACAAAGTGTTGGAAAGAACCTGGTGGATACTTGGATTGTTTCGAAGTAAACAGAAATTAAGCCTGGGTAGTCCCTTAGCCATGAGGTTTAAAAAGGACCCACATGCAGAGACAGAGCTGAGGTGATTTCTTGCAGATTTAGTAAAAAAAAAAAATATTTAAAAATACAGAATCCAAAGTCTCGAACTGATGAACAAGGAAAACTCAAAAACCAAAAAAGTTAGGAGACACAAGGGAGGCATAAACCAAAAGAATGACGAGGATCCCACAAAGAGTAACTTAACAATAGGTGTATATGTGACAGAAATAGTGGGAGGACTAATTAGCTGATAGGGAGCAGGTGTAGACAGAAGTAACTAGAGGGGAAAGGAGACTGGCACAAGGGCCAACAGAGTGTAACTTAAAAAATAAAGCACTGCTTAAATATAACAGAAAATGGAAAAGAAACCAATGACCAAGAAAACAGAATAACATAAACTTAAAAAGAAACTTAAACAGAGGTCCAAAAAGTTCAGAATCATGACAGGTATTAAACTGTATTTTAATGGGATTCAACAGATTTATCATATTTATTAATCAGGTGATTTCTGAAGGCAACTGGTTTCCTATGAGTTGATTGTAGAACTATTAAAGTAAATAAAAACTTTTCATACATGCAAATACACTGTAAGCATAACTGCATAATATGCATACCACTGTATAGAAAATCGGTAAGAGATCTACTGTTGAGCCGCTTTGAAATTGTAAAGGGAAATCTGTCTCCTTACAAATAAATAAAAGGTATGAGGATTACTCTTTATTTTCTGCAAATTACTGTGGAGAGGTAGGTCTGGAGTCTCTGCTGCCTCCCCACCAGGTTCCAGTTAAAGCAGAATCCAACGACTGATTATTTGGAAAGCATATAAAGTAACAGCACATTAATGCATTCTAAATGTGTCTCATTCATTATTCAGGAGCTCTGTCGGCAGCACATGGCATCCAAATCCTCTCTCTGCCGCCAAGATTGTGTTGGCGGGTCAAGCAGTGGCATGGCGGGACCTGCCACAGGAACTGGAGCTGGCGGACGGAGGGGCACAGATACGTCCCGTGTGAGCAGTGTGTCCTCCCAGTTCAGCGACGGCCCCCAGCACAGCCCGTCCTCCACTCACAGCTCTACCCCATCCTGGAGCGAAGAGCCGGCCCAGTCTAATATGGACATCTCCACAGGTCACATGATACTGGTGAGGGGATAACAGAACATTCAAAGAGCAGTGGAGAAGTATGCCGGATGCATCTTGTGTGAATATAGATTTTTCTTGTGGTGGCAGGCGTACATGGAGGATCACCTGCGTAACAAGGATCGGCTGCAGAAGGAGTGGGAGGCTTTGTGCTCCTATCAGGCTGAGCCCTGCTCTGTAGCTGTGGCTCAGGAGCCTGCCAACATGGATAAAAACCGTCACGCTGATGCCCTCCCCTGTTAGTCACCAATGAATCCCTCTTTATGATTATTTCTGTCACTTTGTTCACACTGTATACTAAGTGCTAATGTAAAAGAACTGAAAGAACCACTAAAATTAAACATACCGAATATTTTTACTATATTTTCTTTACATTTTTTTTAGCACTAAGTGGATGACATTTTCTTTACGAAAGTCATTGTTTCTTTTTCAGATGATCACTCTCGTGTGAAGATGAAGCCAGAAGTAAACCCAAATAAACAAGATTATATCAACGCCAGTTTTATCGTAAGAAATTAATTATAAATCACCAGTATGAAACCTGATCTTACAAAAAAATATTTAGTTTTATGATGATTTTGATTTTAAAAGATCCACTATGAAAAATGATGAGGAAAAAACAGACACTTAACATCTTGACGAGACAAATTCAAATAAAATGTGTTAAACCTGTCTGTTTCATAGCTTCTCTTAATTTATATCAATAGTTATTATAATGTATTCAATTTCTTTTTTTTAATTCCATACCTATGAATTTGTATGACTCAAATTTTTCTCTCTGACTTTCAGTTCGATCATGACCCTCGCCAACCCGCCTATATTGCCACACAGGGCCCCCTGCCCCACACCGTTGCAGATTTCTGGCAGGTCAGTTTGTTCAGTAGTTTTTTTTTGCGTTGTTTATTCGCTTCCATGCTGCCATCCTGGTGTATATGTTTACAACATCTCTGCATCCACTGAAGACTGTAGAACACTGTATGGGACATTGTGTAGTACAATTTAACTACATCAGATTCACACTTTTTCAGTATACTTCAGTTCAAATATGCCATTTTGTTACATAGAAAAATGACAAATATTAATTCATTTGAATTTCAAGTGATGAATAAAATCAAGACTGTTACATATTCTTTAATTTGGAGGGACGTTGGTACATACTTAATGTTTTCAACATTTCTACTGGTTAAAGTCTGAAAAATGTGTCACCAATAAGCCTTAAATTTCTTTTCTCTGAAGTTAAATTAAATTAGGTAAAACCAATTGCCTTCAGAAGCAACAGCATAATTCAAACCCTCCTGTAATGTCTATTATGAATAGATCTGCTCTGTGAAGGTAAAATAACAGCATCAAGAATACAAGTAAAACACAGCAGACAGGTGAGGAAAAAAGTTTCCCAGTATCCAGACAGGCTCAGGATGTCTCTGAAAAGGAGGGTTGCAACTGTAAAACCTCCTTTAAACGTCTGTCCATCTAAACAGATAGACCAAATGGCATTATTCTGAGAAGTGGACAGGGTTTTATTGATTGCAGAGTAGTAAAGATCCATAGTTTAGGTGAGAAAACAAATACAGGCAGCGATTATTCCTTACCTCCACTGCTCTGTCTTTTATGAAAGAATAATAAAACTATTTTATCACTAAAAGCATCCAGTTTACATTTAGCCATAAGTCACAAAGGTGAGACAATAAACAAGTGAAAAAAGTTTCTTAATAAGGATTATGGCAAATTGAGCATTTTAGCCCACTTGAAAAACTTTTTGTGCCAGAACTAATCCTGCCCAACATGGCAACATCTAAAACAATAAAATGTGTGATTAGCTTTTTATTAGAAGGGTTGAGGGAGCTTAAAAAATAAAAACAAACACATAAATGAAAATTTGTAATCCAGTCCCTATGGTGAAGTATTTAAAGTCTTTAACTCTAATGCAGGGGACCCCTGCATTTTCTTAAATTTCTTAAAAAGTATGAATTTAGGACAACAAATGGACATCTCACCTCTCATATTTTTTTATAACCATACAGTTAATCGGTTTCTTTTCATTTAACAGCCATTTGTAGGAGCCAGTTATTTTTTGTTGATAATTAACTGAGTTTTTATTTTTTTGTAGATAATCTAATTAAGGTTATTTATTTTTACTTGATTGTTTGATAATTGTTTTGAGATTATGTTGTTGGTTATTTAGTTGTTTCCATGTTTACGGTTAGTTATGCAGCAATTTGGATGAATTAAGTTTATAAATAGGCTGTTAATGGTAGGACCAGCATGCAGTGGGCGTATGTTTTTTAACAGCGTAAGAGAAGCATGGAAGAAATGTTTGTCATTTTTGTTTTCTTGCTTAAGGAGAAATTAACCACAAAACAAAAGGGCTTTAACTGGAAAATTTATTTCTTTTTGCCTGCATAAATTACTTGTCCATGGTGCATCTGTGGCCCTTGTGGATTTTTTTTGTGTTGTCAAGGCTGGGCTCCAACAGCTATGCATTACATTATGCAGTTTTTTTTTGTGTGTTTTTTTTTTTTTAGGTATTTGTGGACAAACAGAAAAAAAATGACATTTCACATATTGTAAACCATATCCATAACCAGTGTTATCTTATTGATATGCAGATGGTTTGGGAGAATGGCTGCACAGTAATCGTGATGATGACGGCTCTGGTGGAAGATGGAGAAAAGCAGAGTGAAAGATACTGGCCTGATGAAGGTTCTTCACTCTATCACATTTATGAGGTTTGTCTTTTCGGCCGCATCTCTTAATTACATGATGGGGAATCCCAAAGAAAAATTAGTACAATGGTTATTCTATTTTTGAAATATAAACATTTGTTGTGACGTTTGGAAAATTAAAATGTTATCTTTCTTCTTTGTCCTGCTTGTGTCTTTCTCTTATACAGGTGAATCTGGTATCAGAGCATATCTGGTGTAAGGACTTCCTGGTGCGCAGCTTCTACTTAAAGAACGTCCAGACACAGGAGACGAGAACATTGACACAGTTTCATTTGCTTAGTTGGCCTGGTGATGGTATTCCCACTTCTACAAGACCGCTGCTCGACTTTCGCAGGTAGAGAGGCTGGGCTCTCCACCTAGTTTATACTTAACTCTGTTCCATATAACTCAATCGTTTTCTACAAATACAGAGAACTTCAGTTTGTGTAATGCTGCATTTAAATCCTTTTTCAAGTCAGTACTTTTATTTCCCGCCTTCTGAGTTAGAGATGGTCAAATAAGTCTTTGTTGTCCTTACTTCATCTCCCATCCATTAATCACCTTGGCTCCCTCTCCCTCTCTCCCAGTGTGCAGGTTGATAGGTTTGTATTTTAACATCTCCCAGTGTCATTTTTGTGGTTTGCAGCTAGTACTCTGGCTCCAGTTGCATAGTCACAAAAATGAGCATTGGCAGGTGTGACTGGCTGCTGCAGGCTTCTCCCTCTCCTGCTGTCCTATCCCCACATCCTCACATCTATCTTAGAAAACGTAACATGCCCCCTCATTGTCTCCCTCATCATCACTTTTATGGGTCCTTTCACAGATTTCCATATTTTCTTTCCTCCTGCTTCCTTGAATTCATTTTAGCAATGATCCAAATGAAACTAAACCTGCCTAAGGAGCCGCTGTGTGCTCAGTTCCTTGCTAAAGTTTTTTTATACATTGATTTTTAAATATTCAAACCATAAGCATTGTGTTTAATTGGGGTTTTTGTGATAGAACAATACAAAGTACAGTATAACGTTAATGTTGTATCAAACAGCAAACTATTTTTTTATTTTTTTTTTATATATATTTTCCTTGCAAAAATCTTACAAATTACAGTGCAATCTATTTATTTTACAAGTTCCGGAATATATAAATATTTCCCATCCATGTGTAATTTAACCTTAGTATGAATGGGATTTTTCTTAAATTAGCAGTTTCTCACAAACTCCACTGTGATGACCAAACAAAACATACAGGTCAGGGATAAAGTTTAAGAAAGATTTATTTAAAAAAAATTATAAGTTATGAGAAAATATCCACAAAAGCGGTTTTAAATCGGAGGCAAAGCGGTGAAGTTTTTTCTGAAGACGATTCAACACATATCCAGGAATCTTTGTTAATTCTGTAGGCTCACACTACAACTAGGACCTTTATTTACTTTATAGCAGAAGATTCCTCTAACCCTCTATAAAAATTGTAAAGGATAGGACAGAGCTACAAACATGGGAAAACATGTATTCCACATGTAAACTAATACGATGAGAGTTAAGAGCATCAATCAGAAGAGAAACCAAGAGGCCAAAGTCTGAGGTTGATATGGCAAAGATTTGTCTTACATTCCATAACCTGTAGTTTACCATTAAATACTTGCCATGTATTGAACAAAGTGACCACATCAGATTAGATCATTTATTTCACTTTTTTGGCCTATATATAAAACCCTCAATTGTGGTGAAAAATATTGTAGGGCAACTTTGAATGAAAACCTACTTTAGGATCTGAGACTTGAGACTGAGAAGCTGATTCTGTTTCCAACTGGAAAACAATCTCAAGCAGACAGCAAGGTATACAACTAGTTGGGTTAAACCAAACTATTCATTTGTTGGAATGGCACTGTCTATACCTAGCGCAAAATCCCATTTAAGATACCTTGGCAGGACTTGAAGAAGGAATTGTTACATATCTCTCTCGCGCTCTCGAGATCTTGAGCTTTTTTTTTCTACAGACAAATAGCTAAACTTCAAAGGTGCAAAGCTGCTTAACATTCAGCTTTAAGTGCTTTGAAAGGTTGTTCAACTAATTGACTGATTATGTATTTATGCCACAATTCTCACATTGGTGTTTCTTTAAAAAGTTTGAAAACCATGTGTAAAAGTCGTGTAATTACTTTCTGCTGTGTGTTATTCAGTAGGCTATCACAAGAAATCCCAATAAATCACAGTGATGTCTTCTGTAAAATGTGAAAAAAAAAACTCAGGTGGTAAATTTGCAAGGCCCCATACAAAGCGTACATTTAATGATCTTCTAGCACATTTCACCTTGTGTGTGTACTGTACGTGCTTCTATCCTCTTTTTCAAAATAATTCTATAAGGTTCATCTTTTTTAATAAGGTTTTTTTTTTTTCCTTTACTGTTGTTTGTTCTTTTCAGGAAGGTGAATAAATGCTACCGAGGTCGATCCTGCCCTATCATTGTTCACTGCAGGTACAAAAAAATGACCTATCAATATACAGCATAAATGTTTCAACTTTATTGAAAACAGTTTGTTTTCTTCTCTTGTCATTGCAGTGATGGGACAAGCAGGGCTGGCACATACATTCTCATTGACATGGTGCTGAATCGCATGGCTAAAGGTGAGTCTCTCACACACCCACACACACACTTTATATCATGTGTGTAAAATGTTTAATAAAACATTTTAAAAACGCAGTTGTGATCGAGTTAACTTATCTAAGGATGTAGTTAACATTAAGCGACAGAAGAGGGGGCTGTTGTACCTAATATTAGTGGAGGTAACTCCATGAACTATTGGAGAAAATCAGTTTATTTATTTGATTTATTTGAAAAGGGTCAACTTAAATTGTGTTAAGTCATTGCAGAGTTTTATAACTAAAGCGCTATTACAGTATCAAATGTAAATAATGAATAATACCAATTAAAACAGCTTTATAACATCATAAATATATTCCACTGCCTGATACAGATGCTATCCCTTTTCCTCTTGCTATTAGGGGTGAAGGAGATTGATATCGCAGCCACACTGGAGCACATCAGAGACCAGAGGCCTGGACTGGTTCGCACCAAGGTACCAGCTGTTTTCTCTTATTTTCTGCATGTTTCTTCTTGCTTTTACAAACTTTATGGCTAAAGTTAATCAAAACCAAAATGCTTCCCTTCACTCCTCTTGTTCAGGACCAGTTTGAGTTTGCGCTGACAGCCGTTGCTGAGGAGGTGAACGCCATTTTGAAAGCTCTGCCACAGTGAGATCCAGCAGTTGAGGAACATGGCCACCAGACATGGAGGCACCTCAAAATACATGTTTCAAAGGAAATATTTATTGGATCTCTTTGATCTAGGTGGAGACAAGGGTATACACAGTCCCAGAAATGTCGAGCCTCATTTTCTGTTCTGTTTTCTGTTAATATAATGAGGTGGTGGCTTGTTGCTGATAGGCTGCAGATGGGACCACATTTATTCATAATTATACCACAAACGTAAAAGCTACCCACCTGATTACAAAAGGATGTAGCCATAAAACATAAAATTCAAACATTTGTGCCTGTCTGAATACAGGTTTATGCTTTACAAAAGAGGAGACAATATACCTCCCTGTGACCATGAAGTCTAAATCTCAGTGCCCGCTGGATAACAAACAGACGTTTTGCTGCATTGATAAGTAGACCAACATACATTAAAACCAAATGTCTATACATTCACCTTACTAAGTCAACGTGAAAGTAGTTTATTTTAAATCTTTGGATGTGGTTGTGTCAAGTGTCAATGTTGTCGATTTGTTTTTTTTACCCTGAGGCTGTGTCTTTGGCTTAAAGATGTAAGTTCCTCTCTGGCTCTGATTCTTTTAGTGATGGATGCCTTCTATTGGCATCAACAAATCTACCTATTTCCACCCAAGATGTTGCTTTCTTCATACTCTTTTGCCATCTTAGTCAATGTGATTAATGTAAATAATTCACGCTGATGGTTGTTTATTTCATGTAGCAGACAAATAGAAAATATCTATAAAAATGTATTTTTGACTTGATCTTAATAAATTTGTGATGTGATGCAGCAGAAGAAAATTATTCCTGTGTTGTTGGTTTTATTTTATAGTATGATTTAAATAATTGTGCATTTTTTATTTTCATTTATAATTAATGTTTTAATATTTGAACGATTATTAAGAGTAATAAGCGATAAAATTATTAGTTTTTCAACTGTTCTTTGGTTTCTATACAGCTTTCAATTCGTGATACGGACTTGCTGAATTTGCTTACTTTGTGCGTTTCCAATAAAAAAAAAGATCCTTAACTCAGAGGCAGTGTCCGAATGTCCGCTCAAACCACCATATAGTGACTACGACATTTTAGATGAGTGGTTGAATGTCTAGTAGATGAAAAGGTAGTGGACTCTACATTTCCCACAATGCGTCTTGAAAAGTGATCATCCATGGTCAATAGACAAGCAGATATATCCCGGAATGCTTTTCGAGGAGAGTTCTCCTTACAAAGCATCATGGGCCCAGCTACCTAACAGCGGTGACAAATAACAAAGATGCTGCAGGTAAAGTGCAGGGAGGTGGAGTTACGTGGCCAACAGGGAACGAAAAGCCGTGATCATCTGTCCGAACGGTAAGTTAACTGACTTGACTATAAAGTACACTATATAGTCCCTGCTCTATATAGTGACTGAGGAATTTAGGGGTTAGAGTGTACGTTCGGACACAGCCAGAGATTCCCAAAATGTTGAGTTTTCAACTCCAGTGTGTTTCATTACAGAGGTTGAGAGCTCAAAGCAAAAAAAGACCAAAAAAAAAAAAAAAAACGGAACTTTGCTGTACCGAATGTAGCTTTCCCGTTATTTGATGAAAGTATGGACCAGTCTCTCGTTCTCATGAGCAACCAGTAGACAATGTCTCAGTTAGTTGTACAATTTCTCTGACCTCATTTTCAAACACCTTACAAATTCTGAAAAAGCATTCATTCAGCATCCATGACTTAGATCTTCCATTCTAAAGAGTGCTAGGTACCGATAAAGATACCGACCTTTTGAGTTTCTAATAAGCATCCCAGGGAAAATCAAGTTCAGACTGATTCTGGTCAAGAGACAATTTCTCATTGTATGTGTCATTATCATTCTCAAAACAATTGGAGGATTAATACAAATTTAATCAAAGTGGAAAGAGACAAAGTCTTTATTTCCTCTGTTTCGTGTCTCGAAAATATATTTCAGAATTTGTGGAACATTTTGACTGAGTAAATATAATTTCCTATTCTTTGAATACGATTTTAATATATTTTGTACCTGTTTTCCAAAGCAAAGCTTAAAAAATATTCACAATCTTTTGTCGCACACATAACTCCGTCCTTGGCTGTCAAAATATTTCCAGTTACTCTTCTTTCGCTTTCTGAAAAGCTATAAACAGAAAAGAAACACAAAGCAACAAATACAAAGTTTTCAAGGTTTCATTCTGAGACAGAACACATCATGGCGAGAGAAAGTGCATTGTAGCGAGTATGACCTTAGACCTGCAAAAAACAGATGTTAAAAAATGACGTTACAGTTTATCTTGAGATGGGATAGAATCTATATGGGGACGGATAAGGAGAAAAAAATATGTTCAGGATGCCGCAGAGTCACAATGGTTCTTTACCTCGGGGTGGGGCTTAAGCGCACAGAGCAGCATGAGCCAATCAGGTTAGCTTGTGAAGGCCTTGAAGTCTGAGTCTGAAACAGGAAGTAGGAAGTATGAGACAAGGGTTTAAGTTATGCCATAACTTAGAACCAAATACACTTGTTTTTTAACCGATTATGTATTTATAGCGAAAATACATATCAGCTTGAGTCAGGATTTAATCAAACATATCTGACTAAAGTAGGACAAATATCAATAATACTAGAACAAGATTAATGAGAAAGTGAGGCAATAGAATTCTGAAGAAAAAAAAAAGAACACCTCTTTAGGCTCAATCTTTATTAGTTATCAGTTTATTAAATTGAAAAATAACACATGGTAGTGCAAGGTAGTACAATATTTTAAGTCAATCAATATATATGTATATAAAACAATCCATCTATTCATATTTGCTCTTATGTCCGCTTCACATTATTAGTAAAGAGGAGGAATTATCTGTAATTCATATTTCCATAATTTAAATCTCATTTGCCAGGGACAGAAATCGTCTTGTTTAAATCAATATGCATCATTAAACATATCAAGTTTTTAGGAATTATGGCACATTAACTTTCTGCTGCTTCAGCAGTCCAGAAAACAAGTTTTGTCTAAAATGTACTTTAAACACTACACAACACTAGTAATACTTTGATTTGAATGCTTTTGGGATTTGGCAACAACTTGGCTTTCTAAAGTTCCAGAATTAGTTTTTACAAAACAAACAACAACCCTGTTTCACAGATAGTGTTTCACCACTTAACAATAATTTTACGTCCTTAGAGGTCTGAAACGAGGCCTTTTTAACTGAGACACCAGCATTCATTGCAAGAGTCCCCCGCCACACACACACACACACACACACAAACAAAAAAAAGCTGCTTGTACCTATCAGACTCCTACATATAAATGCAACAAACACACAGCACTGTTACTGTAGTATAAGTAATGTGCAAATAGAGTGCAATGGTGAGAGCAGTGCAAAAAAATTAAGAGGGGAAAAAGGCTGAGATTTGGTGCCTGAACTTTAACTTATCTAGTGCAATTTTTTTTTTACTTGTTTATTATTTCTTATATAGAAAGCACAATCATAATAAATTTGCTTTTTATTAATTCATTTGTGAGTAAGGGTGCTTTTATCTAAAGGAACTTAGAAACGGGTAAACATTGTGAATTCATGTAAGATTTTAACCTCTTGTCAAAGGTCACTAGTGTGGAAAAAACAGGAATATTAGGAATAGAAGGTGTGACCTTTAGTTTAGTCACTGGTTCAATTGTTGGCCAAAAGATTACACTTTGGTCTCATCTGAATAGAACAATCCTTTGCATTGCCGTGTCCCTTCCAGTCTAGCTCTAGAAAACATTAAAACTAAAACAGTTCAGGGTTTACTTTTTAAAGGCACTGCACATTTAACAACACAGTTCTTAAAAAATGTATTCAGCACCAGTACATAAATATAAAGTATTCCTAACTCCATAATGTGTGCTTTGAATAACTAGATTTTCCATTAATGTTGGTCAGGTACTTACAGAAGACATCTTTAATCAAAGATAAGAACTTCCACTGAAAGCCTTGTGACATACTTTTTGATTTGAATCACTTGCTTGAGACAGGCATGGGTTTGGCACAGTTTGTGGCAGGGTTCTCAAAGACTCAAACTCTCAAAGATACACTGAGAGAGGCACACATATACATTTTACTTTGATTCGGCATTTTTTTTAAACTAACCGATCTGTTCAATCTATTTCTCTATAACACCAACCTGCTATACTTTAGAAGTGATGCATTTCAAACCGTCTCTCTGAAACCAAAGCTGACTTCAATCCAAACTTACCTCCATTTCTAACAATCTGCAAAAACTTAAAAAAAAACTCAAAGCGGTTATTTTCTAGGTTCCTACTCATTCCACCTGTCTACTCAGACATTCTCTCCTTTTCAAAACAATCATTCATTGTTCTTTTGCAAGTAAGAATTCAAAAATATTTTTATCACCTTATGTGCATAATTCAATATTGCATACTGTTAGCAAACAGCTGCCAGACCTTTAGGTAAAGAATCATTTTTGCATGTACTATAATTTGTGGCTGTAAGCTGACACCATGCTAAGAGGAAGGGGAGCCTTCTTAGATATGCAATGAGACCATGCTATAACACAACACACCCACACCTGTTCTTTTTCACACTCCCTTCTGATGTTTTTGCCACTGGTTTGATCTTTTCTTCAGTCGACAGTGTAGTGGGAGCAGCTGTAGCTGGCTCTCTGGTTCCATTCTGCTTTGTTTCAGAGCTAGCTCCAGAACTTGTGCTAACTTTAAAGTGCCCCTCATCACCTTTCCCCTCTCCAACTACTTTGTACGCACTGGACACATGAACAGTTTGTCCATTAACAAGCCCTTCTACTGTGTTGCCCCCAGTTTTAGTATGTTTGGTTCTGCCCCTACCCACAGCACCTGGTATGAAGTTGGTAGCACCGGCTTGCTGCTGCCCTTCCATTTCTGACAGGCTACATGCCAAAGCCATCTGAAGGTCTTCATCTTCTTCTTCATCCTCACTGTCATCCACATGGTTATAAAAGGGAGCTGCGCTAAATGACCGATGTGCAGGCGCAGTGCTGTGACGGTCGGAGTGATAGGGTGATCCATTCAGGAGCTGTGGTTTCTGAGCGGACTGGTGTCCTTCTCTTCTACTGAGCTCAAGTGCAAGAGCCATTTCGTCCTCCACACCTATGAAAAA